ATATATTTTATTTCATTTGAACATATAATTCAAGCTATGTTACTATTTATTTCTATATTTATTATTCTATCTTCGTCAGTAACTATTCTCCGTGACGTATATCATCTATATCTATGTAGATGTCCGTGAAGCATACCATCTAATCTAATTTCGTAATCAATACCCAGCACCTGTTAAATCCGCGATCATCAACACGGGTATTTCGTCTTAAGCTGTTAATTTTCGGTCGCGGGCCCGCGGGCCGCACGTCAAATACAATTTAACGCGACGCTGCACTCTGAGCCGATTGCGGACACGAGACAAGCCGGCTCAGAACATGGAGCTATAAAACTATGGATATTATATAATATATCTAACAAAATCCTTTAAAAAATAGTTTTCTTATAAAGCCAGTACTTTTGAATAACTAATAAAACCTAACCTAACTATTGAACAAACTAAATATTATCTTAAACCAAAACACCTTAAATAAGTTAAATTTAATTTACAAAAATACAATGCGTGTTGACGAAATATTTGTTAACGTAAACGGGAACGAAACCAAGCGTCGTCGCTTTAACATCACTTCAAGTGCGTTTGGGAATTTAGAGGTTCGGTTCAAATTAAATATGTGTTCCCTAAATATACCTATATTATATACATATATTAAAATATGCACATTTATTAATATGTCACAGTTTTGATTTCATTCATGACTATTTATGTTTTGTTCCAGCTTATACTTATTTATTTTTAAGTAGTTTTTGAGCTGTTTTAGAGTATTTTCTGTGTCTGGTTTCAATGAGATTGCATATTATATGATATAAAAACGTTTAACATTTAATGTCCTTTGTTGGTGTGTGAATGTTTGCGATTAACCAAAATCTTACAGCTTTTATTATCACCGCGCCGCGCCGTCAGAATTGTAACCTAAAGGGTCAAATACAACTTTGAAGATAAATATGTATATGTGGGGTAGATTTCGGGGAAAAGTTGTGCTAACAATAATTAATCAAAAATGCTTTAAATTTTTGCATTTCAACTTCAACAAACCCTGAAATCTTGACCTGATGGAAATCTCAGTTGAATATCAAAATATCTTTTAATTATATTCACTGAAAACAATACTATAATGTCTCATATAAAAAGTTAAAGACGATACATATAAAATGTTAGTGAATTAAAGCATACAATATTGTAGTAGTGATAATGCCGTATCCACATTTCGTACATCAAGCAACAGTACACAAGTGGTCACGTATTGGTTAAAGGGTAGGTCGGCGGATTATACGCGCTCGCAAACACAACGATACAACGGCGCGTCTTTATCACTATAGAGGTATTTATATTGTTTAAACAACAATATTAACTTAATAAATTAATTTGAGGATAATATTTATTAAAGAAGATCTATTTTTTTTAATTTTTAGGCCGTTATATTTAAAAATTGACATATTAAAATGAAGTTAACGATAAATTTAGCTGCGATTTGGTATTTTTGTTATATTATCATATATTTTCCCTTTTTAATTAGTTTTTTTTTATATTAATATATTTGCTCATAGTCTAACACCCCAGCAGTCAATAAAAACGTTCCGAGGTCACAGGAGCGTAAAACGAATCGGCTTAAGTGAAAATTATTTTCGATAACAGATAATCAGATAACGGTATTAATAAAAAATATAAAATAAATATTAACTTTTGATGGGAACTGGCACGTGGTGTGTTGATGGAAAGTTTGTAGGAGTGGAATACGGACGTTTAAGCCTTATTATATACGGGAGTTGTGGCATGTTCTGGATGTGTGAAAGACAAAAAATACTTTTAATAATACTTAAAATCATAACAGCTAAATATCTCTACAACCTACTAAAAGACTTGTTCTTTTCCAGAACTTACATTAATTAATTCTTGGAACATACATCGAAGACCTAGTAGATTCTTTTCAAAATTGGTAGAGAGAGGAGCTTGGATTTTGGAGGTGAGCGTTTAACGCGCGTTATATAGGGTCCCTTAAATCTACACCTGGGTCGCAAATCCCAGTCACTGTTGAAGGTCCTCTCACTACAACGATGGACCCGTCACCCTCAAAGTGAATGATGAGAGGTTTCGTCTCTATATATGATATTTGTATCGAATAACATCAATAAGCCGTAATGAACAAACATCACAATATAAAGTACTGATTCTGGTCATATTAAGTGTATTAATCGTCTGTATTTCGTCAAATGGTCGTATAAAGTGGTATAAAGTGGTATAAAGGGTGTATTATGTAAGTTTATCACTTGGCAACTGAATCACTCGACAACGTTAAGTCTCCAAGATTCGAACAATTGTGGGAGAAGATTTGGTCTGCGATTCACTCGTTTGTATTACGTGCTCTGATTACCGATGGTTATGTTCGTGTTTACAACACACGATAATATAACGAGTGATACAATAATAATACGTCTAAAAAGAATAGATCATTCAGACTGATTAATACTTTTTCAATATCTATAGTTGTTGAAGTTATATTTATAGTTATAGTCAAAAAGTCATAAGAATTATTACGAACAAATAAATCAGATGTATTCTTTTTCTATTCCTTATATTCTTATAATTTTTTTGTACTCTAATATTTTTCCACTCCAGGAAAAATTTGATGAGAAAAACTGAAGATTAAAACGTAATTTATAAATGCTATATTATTAGAACTAATGAATATTATAATGGAAGTAGTAGAAAAATATATCTTTTCTCGAAATAATTGCATATTAATCAATAATCAGTATTTTAATATTCACAATTATTTTGTTATCTTATTCAAGTTGACGTCATTGTAATATATTTTTTGTTCCGACATATCGTATGTTGTAAAGGTTACTAACCACTCCAAGTCCCACAAAACTAACCTCACAGAAGTGTCCCGACAATTGTCTAGCATTTATCTCTCCACAAATACGGATTTACTTAAAATACCCAACTATTTTAGAGGATAATCGTATTAATTAGTTATCAGGTGTTCTTTTATTAAATACTGAATCGAAGAAACTACATAGATTGCATGTATATATTGATGTAATAATAAATTTAGTTTAATGTAAGTAAATTCTGTTTGTACAGAGGACAAGCGAAGCGACTCAGTGTAAACATCGTTTCAATTGATTGCACAACCTTTACAGCTCATTATACTACAAAATCAGCTGCGGAAAGGCTAGCAAGTGAGAAAGAATTTGGTATTTCCGTACCTCAAAATGAGCGAGACGTATATACATAATAATAATAAGTATGAAAGAGCTAGAAAATATTGTAACGAATCTAAAAATGAGACCGACTATTCGGCTACTTACATATTTTGAATCATCAAAAGGAATCGACGGTTGGCGAATAATTTTGAATTGAAAATACGCTCGTACGGAGTCCTTTTGTACAATCAATATTCAATGTTGCCAGTGCTCGTTTGAATTTACCTACGATTATTTGGAAATTCAAATTTTTATGAAATCAAAAAGTATTTTTGATATTCTCTCTATTATTCGTTGGAAGTTCGAATGCAATGAATATTATTATAAGAAAAAATAGTTCGTTCAGCTTAGGTAGGTACTGTGAAGAGTAAAAGTAAAAGATATACAATATAAATTGTGTCTTACTTAGTCTACTGTCATAAAACCTTATTTTTGTCACCTCATTAGGTTGTTTATATTAAATAATCATATATTAAGTATGAAAAATAATGCTAACTATAAGATATACATATAAGAATTTCCTATGAATCCTATGAAATATCTATAGACATTATTTTAAATTTTAATATGCATATAATAATAAGAATTATCAATCAATAACTTCATTTGCTTTTAATATGAGAATTTTGCCTTTCGAGTTTCGTATTTGCCTGAAAATGCTATTAATTATAAATACCTTAGCATGACCTCCCTTCAAATAAACTAAACATTTTATTCGATATTATGTTGTATTTTTATTGTAAGGAAATAAATTTATTAGGAAGACATGTCAATTTTTACTACGATGAGTGACGTATCAAGACTTCTTTTAAGATCTTGATACGTAGAAAAGTTACTAGTGAAAAGTATGTAACAATTTTCATAGACAATTTATGTATGTATGTAGATGTTAATTGACGATAAAAATTGATTGCATAAAAATGTTTTTGAATAAAACAACATAATAAATTAATTCAATCTCTTTCAGCTTCGCCTCAAGGATTGGTAAAAATTTAAATAGCTGATAGGAGATAAATGGTCATAAATTTACTTACGGTAATTCCGTACCACGTTCGCGTTATAATATAAAAGAGATAAAATAGCGGACAATATGAGGCAGTGCTAGTATATAGCAATTGTTTTCAATAATAAAACCGTTTAAAAATAAGAGAAAATTATTCATACCTGATAGTGTAAAAAGGATATTACAATAAATATTAGCTACTGTACAAATTGTTATAATATATGTAATTAAAAGTGAAAAAAATTTATGGATTGTTTAAATATTATGTAGAATCTTTTATATTTATTAATTATACTAAATATTCTTTTTACAAATTAGTTAAGCAGATTTTAATTTTTAGAGAAGTAAAACAGAGTCCTCTGTGTTTCAACATAAAAGATTTTACTCATTATATTATTCCAAGAACGAGATCGCTGACATTATATTTAGCATACTGCCCTCTGTACTAAAACAGGATCATCAGCTTTGCCATCTGACTAGAAGTTGAAGTTTTACTACAATTCTTTTAACAAGTAATTGTTTTGATTTACAACAGATGGCGCTACTAGTTCTTGCCATCTATCGACAGTACATGTAACTAAATGTTTTAAGTTGTCCTAAAGCTAACAAGGACATGCAGCGACATCTATCATATTTATATTAAACCAGTTCTCAAACTTCGTTGTATTACTATTTAAAATTGTACTGAAGTCAACGACTATTTTCTCAAATTTTATATAATAGTTCATACAAGCACCCATGAAAAGGAAAACAAGTTGATTTTAAGTTTTCCGCCATCTAGAGACAAAAAGATGAAAGAGGATGAATTCGAGCTAAGCTTTCGTTTTCCCTGGAGTATCACTGAAGATGGCGAGATGTGTTTTGATTTACTGAATGTATGTTCAACTATAGGTACCTATTAGGATTTGTAGCATATTTTATTAATTTGAAATCCTTAAGACATGTAAGAATAACCTTTAGTCACAGATTACAATTATTTTAATAAATATATATCTATGTTAAAATTACATCAGGAATACATTTTTTTGAACAAAAGTTTTAATAAAACTTTTAGTGTGCCCTTATTTATATGAAAAAAAATATATCTTTTCATATGTGAGTATATCTAAGACATTTCACATAAAAAACGTATTAGTACATTGTTATACACATACGCACGCTTCAACAAACTTCGGCATCAACGTAAGGGGAAACTGTGAGCTGATAATTGAACACAGAAAGCTTCTTAATTACACTATATCGAGTGCATCCCATGCTCGTCACCAACGGAAATCACGCCAAAACACCATGGAATCAAGCGAAAACAGTCAGTGCGTGATCAACCGTGGGTAGGGGCGGTCGTGTCGCCCTCTTAGAAAAAACATTTACGATAAATTGTTTAGCATGAGATGATTGTTTGTTGATAGTGATGAGTGTGCATAATGTGTTACGGATTATACTGGTGATGTGTGTCGTTGGAAATGTTAGAAATGGAGGTTAAGATTTTGTTTATTTTATGTATCATTAAAAAATATAAATCTGACTTCAAACAAACAATGAATAAAGATTATCAATTTATCAGACTGGATAACTTGTATGACATTGTTTTAAGTTTAAGCATTCAAAATTTCTATCGGAATAATAGTTTTATAAAAACTGAAATATTCTCACGTAATATTTAATAACACTCATCAGTCATCAGTCATCCCATACTTATTAGGTATATGTGGAATATTCAATCACCTAAAACTTTATTCACTTTTATATTTAGTGACATTAATTTAAGTAAATGTTTTTGTATTTGATAAATTTTTCTCGAAAGTTCAAAGAAAGTATAGAAATTTTCTATAGAATATTAGAATGTTGACGTTTTTTAAGCTTTATATTAGCAAAGTAATGTGAAGTTATGTATGAAACACTACTAATTCGTATATACAGTCTCTATTGAAATGATTTCTCACTAATACATTGATCGTTAAAGTCGGTATATTTTTTAATAATTTTCAAATTAAAAGTAAACAAAATTATGTTTATAAATGTATATATGTATATTTAACTGACCGTCATGTTATATAAAGATTTTTAGATTGCATTATTTGTCTTAACATAATATATGTCCTAATAATAACTCATCTTATAAATGTATATTTTTAAGTGTATGTAAGACAAGATATTTCCGTTCCCGAAGACGCCTTCACTCAAACCACAAAACCTCTTGGGGTTTATGTTTCAGTCTCGAATTACGTAAAATCCAATTACTTAATACTTCATATATTGAGTTATCTTAATTATTAACACTCATATATTTGAAATGAATCATATAATATTTATTTGTAGGCTTTAAATGAAAATAATATACAAGTTATGACCGTTAATTTCAGTTATTAGTTAATTTATATAAATTACATTACATATTATGTGGTTACTTACTTTTACGTATATTATTTTAAGAGTAGTTTTAGTTTTTACTACTGATAAAGGATTGTAATTAGGTTTTTCATTCAATCAACGTGTTTATAGGTCCGGAACAGACAACGGAAAAAGAGACAAGACCGGAGTACATACATCCAGACGGTTTACTAAACTTCGATCCATATTTATCAGACTTTAAACCAGTAGAGGAAGAAGATGACTACATTCCACTACCAGAGAACGACGAGACAATTGACGGTCTGCCAATATTTCTCGTGGAACCAAAGAATTCTTTCGTACTTCGCAGCAAACCGGCCACCTTACTATGCAGGGCAGCCAATGCTCTGCAGGTTTACTTCAAATGTAACGACGTGAGAACAGACAAGACGGTTCAGCTCGAACACGTAGACCCTCAGAATGGAGTGAGAGTGGTTGAAGCTGAACTAAATATTACTAGGAATGAATTGGATGAATATTTCGGTGGGAAATACAGTTGTGAGTGTTACGCGTGGAACAGTAAGGGGAGGATTCGAAGTCAGGGTGTCTTCATTGAGTTTGCTTGTAAGTATCATTTAAATGCATTAACGATGTTGTTTGATCAAGGTCAATTAATTTTGCATTCAAATACCTCTAAAAATTATATTCATTCTGCAGATTTATAGAAACACTGGCAGTTTAATCAAATATCCTGATAGATGTGTGTACAAAATTCTAGTCATGAAATCTTTTTCTGTTATAAGAAGCACATTAGCTCTAGTTATTGCTTAAACATCAACTGTTGGGTTGTCCAGTAGTAAACTTCTGTAACGATCAAACCAGCGTGTTATTTCTGATGCAAGATACCTATGACTTATTAGTACTTTCGAGGAATTGACTGCGTTATGTTATAATGTTAGCGCAGACCACTTTCTAATGATACTTCAATACACCAGCTTTGAAACAAAGAACTATAGATGTTTTTTTCATTCTTATATTATTACTAGCTTTCCGCCCGCAGCTTCGCCGCGTGGAGTTCGGTTATATCGCGTTTCCAAGAGAACCTTTCAAAAGTCTGGGATAAAAACTATCCTATGTTCTTTCTCAAGGTCAACTCTATCTCTGTACCGAATTTCATTAAAATCAGTTCAGTGGTTTAGGCGTGAAAGCGTAGCAGACAGACAGACAGACAGACAGAGTTACTTTCGCATTTATAATATTAGTAGGGATTCTGTAAACTTTTTTCGTCTTTCATTTAAAGTTATACAAAAACATCCGAATGTTTTTTTATTGAATGCCAGGTAGAGAAAATATTAATTAGATTTTTTTGCTTAAATTTCTTTATAGTAATTAAGATTAAAATATTCTGTTAGTCTCGCTTCATTTCATAATAGCGATCCTTTTTGTAACCATCTGCGGGCCTTTTTTTTTATTTATTACAACCGTCCTTCCCACAATATTTTCTTGTATAATAAATCAACGTATATTTTAGCATATTTTCAAAAATCATTTACGTCCGAATTTGGGCTGTAATTTAATTTATATTCATATAAATAGTTGTTCTTTCGATTGGAATATGAGAATTAAAAATGTTGACAGAAAAATGTATCTTTATCTACCATCAGAAATGATATGAAGATTACATTTAAAATCCCTACTAATATTATAAATGCGAAAGTAACTCTGTCTGTCTGTCTGTCTGTCTGTCTGTCTGCTACGCTTTCACGCCTAAACCACTGAACTGATTTTAATGAAATTCGGTACAGAGATAGAGTTGACCTTGAGAAAGAACATAGGATAGTTTTTATCCCAGACTTTTGAAAGGTTCTCTTGGAAACGCGATATAACCGAACTCCACGCGGCGAAGCTGCGGGCGGAAAGCTAGTATATTATAAAGTAGTAAACTTGTCGTATATTTTAACGAGAATTCTACATTTCTTTAACATTAATTAGAAGATTAGTCTGTGCGGCGTTTGAATAAAAATATTATATCAGAGGATCTGAGTTATAATTTTAATATGGTCGAGTAAATCCGAGATAATGTTCAGGGAATGGAAATTATCCAGCTTTATAAGGGAAGGATGAAGTTGATTTGATTATGAGATTATGACAGCTGACATTAGGCTATGTACATACATATGTATATATATTATATCTCCTTATATATAAATCTAACTTTCCGACCGCAGCTTCGCCCGCGTGGAGTTCGGTTATATCACGTTTCCAAGAGAACCTTTCAAAAGTCTGGGATAAAAACTATCCTATGTTCTTTCTCAAAGTCAACTCTATCTCTGTACCAAATTTTATTAAAAACAGTTCAGTGATTTCGGCGTAAAAGCATATCAGACAGACAAACAGACAGACAGAGTTACTTTCGCATTTATAGTATTAGTAGGGATTCTCGTGTCACAATGTTCGTTCCCGTACTCCTCCGAAACGGCTTGACCGATTCTCATGAAATTTTGTGAGCATATTGAGTAGGTCTGAGAATCGACCAACATCTATTTTTCAAACCCCTAGGGGACGTCGGCCTTAATTTTTTTTTTAATTTTCGGACGAATATTTTTGTTTTTATTTTTTTTAAATGTAGCATTAAAAAATACATACAACTCAAAATTTTTACTCTTATCACCATCCCCATTTTTTATATGGTATAACAACGTTTGCCGGGTCAGCTAGTATATAAATAAATAGTTATTCTATAAATATAAATACTATACCTTTTAGTACATGATTATAGTAATATAATTATAATATTATGCATCAGAACAATATCCTGTTTAAAAAATAATAAAGTCATCCATCGGACGCTGTCAGCATAATGCCATTTCATTTCGATGTCGGAGGGCCGGAAACTTATATGTTATTATTAATATTTATAAGTGCTTATGAATATCATCTGCATCTACATACATTACTATACAAATATTTTACATACGGACACACGATTATCGTATATCGATATATTTATTGTAGATTCATTGGTCCATAGTACCTAGGAGATTTAAAACAAATTCTTTATCAAATCCTAAATTACATTAAGTTGAAGTTTGATCGTAATTAACGATAACCCGAGTGCTTATAGTTAATAATATTTATAGAAATAGCATGAAAACGTAAAAGCGTACGCAGATAGGTTTGCGATATGACAAGTACAATATTATGCAAAACCACAGATTGCAATGATTGCATTTAACAATTATATAAATGCGTTTTAACTTTATATAGTCTGCTTTCTAATGATTTTCATAATAAATTAATTTTATTTCTAACGTGCTAACCTAGAAACATTAAAACATAAATAGAAATAGCCCCGGGGACAATTAACTTACACGCTATTGTTTAGAAATAGTCGCCCCACGCAGAAGTACTTTAAAGCCACCCGCTTAGCAATAAATGCATATACATTCGGAAATTTTACAGTAAACAAATATTCACATAGTATCATTTGGTTCTTCGTTTTAAAATTAATAGAAATCTAAAGTTACGTTTATAAATCCGAGTTATTCTTTAAATCGCCTATAGAAGTGACATTTGACAGTTGACAGTTGACAACTGACATTTTATAAACAATTTATTAATAAGTTAAGTGTATCAGTAGTGCGGTTATGTTATAAGAACCGGATTCATCTAGTCGGACGAATCTCGTTCATGCTATATCTGGAAGAATTTTCAATATGCTTCCACAAAAGGCTACTGGTTTAATCGTTGAAGTTATTTCACGTTATTTTGAACATATTGTAATGCGGTTTGAATATAACGATAGATAATAAATAATAAATTGCGACTAAATTATCACAGGTAATATAAAATTCTATACTCATCTTTTAAATTTAAGAATCGGAGAAGCTCAATGAGAAAAGATTCATATCATTTAAAAATGTCTGAGAAGCGAACAGTTTGAAGCGTACAATTACTAAGCCTTAAGTTGTGAATAGTAAAAATGATTATAATCTACCTTCATGCTTCATTGTTAGAGTTGTAGCAGATGTAGCTACCGTTACACCGAGGGTGTCGTTATTCCCACATTCCGATAGACCTTATTACTAACACGTTAAGGTTTTAAATGTTAATTTTACACAGTGACATAGATTAGTAACCACTCAACGCATCAAGTTACCATAATCCTGGTAAAAAGATAGGGGATAAGCCGTTAATACGAAATCTTTTAGACGATCCTGCAATTGACGGCTGAGTTCTGGAGTACAGTTCACAGAAAAAACCTTTGTATGAGAAATGATTATCTTCATACATTTATATTATTACCTCCTATCTATTTAGTGATATTTTCTTGATATGTGAATATAATGGATATTGTTATAATACTAACAAATATTTCTAAGACTTCGTTCAACGTTTAAATTTAATAGGTATTTTATTACAAGTTTTTAATTCAGCACTGCAATATTTTTAGGTCGAAAATCTGAAATTCGTGTGTGACAGTATCTGCAGGCGACTGTACATGAGTGTATGCGACCAGTTGATAACCGGTAGAGCAAGTTTTTTACAGTCTAGACTGGCATACAAGCGATCGATCGCGGCTCTGTTCAGGAATTCATAAAAAACTTAAGACTTTAGAGGGATATTATAAACGGAGATGATACAAATTTATGTTTGTGGTCAATAAAGATCGATACTTTCCATGAGATCATCTCATTATTATTGAATTAGTTTCGCTCACATGTCTCTAGAAAATATTTTTTTGTAAAGAAAATGAAATTTGATGTTAAGCATCAAAAGGATAAGACACACCAATTTTAAATGTCGTAATTTTTAACGAGTGTTTTTCTCCCCATCTTAGAACGCCTATGGCGCGGAACCATTAAGTGGAGGAAACATTATTTCCGCTCGTTAATTCGTGCTATTTGATGAATGTAACTCACTTTTGGGGGTGGCTAAGTAACTTCTAGGGTATCGGTGAAGAGTTAAATTGGTATATTTTTGTATCTGTGTGATGAGTTGCGCTACTGCCTGTGATTGGTCCACTTTTATTCAACTCCTCCAACGTTACATTACAACTATTATAGCGTTCCAAGTCCGGGCTCCGTGATTGCTTCAGCTTTAATGGTTTATCACTTGAGTTACAAACTCGTAAAGATTATATGGTGTAAAATAAAGTACCTTCTAATTTAGATCTTAAACGTCTCTTGAGATGTTGAGTTTAATAATACATTCTTTTAGATATCAAGAAGCAGTTCTCTCAGCAACCTCAGTCAGTGACGGCGGAGGCTGGAAGGCAGGTCACTTTCCATTGCAGGCCACCACCTTCGGCACCTATGGCAACCATCAAATGGATCCGCAATGGACTCACAATTGAACCAACCAACGAAACTCTGGTTATACCCCGAGTTGGAATACAGGTTGGAGTTATAGAACAATAAATTAGCCGATATTCCTAACATGTTCTAATTCATAAAATTCAATATTAAACGTTATAAACAACAGTAGCCAAGATAGCCAACGATTAAACCATCTGTTATCGTTTTTGGATCTCATCCAAGATACCTGCCAGAACCTGTTACTTCTAGAGTGGCTTTTACTTTGAATCTGTCGCCATTTACTTTGTATGCGAGATAGCGCTCGTGTTACACAGATGTTGTTTATTTTCCTTAAATATGAATTATTTTGTACTTATTTTGCAAACATTTTCACGGTTTAAAATACATTGTTTTCTGTTTTTTAATGTGAGATACATTTCAATTACAATATATTTTAAACAGATGATTAATATTAATTTTATAATAGTTTGATGAGTTCCCAAGCGCTTTCGAATGCTTTTAAAACGTTTCATATATACAAATACTAGTAGAATTTGTTTTAACGTTTTCCGAATAGTTTTATAAAAAGTATTCTCGCTCTAGGATATGGCAAATTACACCTGCATAGCGGAAAATATCGCCGGTCGACGGGAGTCAGATGTTGCAGTGCTATCAGTATACGGTAAGGAATGCTTGTTTTTTATTGAAGACATCTTTATCTAGTCGCGTTCCTGTATTCCCTTTGCAAATATAGATGTAATAGATAGATATATACGTGTTAATGTTTTAATTATATTATAGATAGATTAAAAAGTACCATAAGATATCATATCTAGCATTATTTTCTTTATAACTGAGTTCAGGTAATGCTGAAGTAACTGAGGTAAGGTAATGCTGGTAATGTATGTACTATGTAGATATTATATTAGCTCGTAATTTCTTCCTAGTGAATGGCGGTTGGTCAGACTGGAGTCCCTGGATTCCTTGTCGGTGTGGTTCCCAGACAAGTGGAAGACGGAGGACCAGGACTTGTACGGAACCAGCGCCAGCTAATGGCGGAGCACCCTGTAGAGGCCAGTCCGCTCAGAGTGATGATGACTGTCTTAGATGCCAAAGCGGTAACCTATCCTATATACTAAAGAAGTCAGACGCGTTATTATAAAAGAAAATCATTAACATTGTAATATTAAATTAAAAAGGCACTTGAAGAAAAGGAATATGATTCGATACTTCATTGTTATTACAATCTATTTGAATTAACTTCACTTATAAAATTGAAACACAATCATGCCTATATATATAATTGACGTTGAAGGGTACATAAAATTTTTCTAGTGTATTTTTATTGCGGGATTCTAAAAATCAATCTAATTCATATGAACTAGTGGCACGTAGAAAATAAGGTATGCAAAAAGATTTTTGGTATCTTTTTTACGTACGAATAATATATTTTGGAGCTAACAATAATGGTTATTTTACCTTTGCTTTGATACTCCTAGGTTCATGGTCTGCTTGGAACCCCTGGTCATCTTGTAGTGAGGAATGTGTCAGGGTCCGCCGGAGACAATGTATCGGTACTTGTTCAGGATCTACTTTACAACACGCTGCCTGCGTTGATGGCTTGTGTTCAGCTGGTCTCAGTAAGTAATAGAATAAAGTACCAATATTAATTTAGACGGAAATGTTATTAATAGCAGGTTATATATTTTATTGAGACTTGGGTCATATTACCTCGGGACTGCCGGCTCTTGACTTATCTAACAGTGATTATAAATTTGAACACTTTATGGAGACTCGATGGAAATGTAAAATACAGTTGAAAGTGCTCTTAAATATCAAGTTTGTCAGAATTAATTAGTGTATGTATATTTGATACTCTTCATACGAACATAAATACTATGTATGACATTTTCTAATATTAATAATCAACTGAGTATTAACTTTGCTGTGAGAAATAGTTGGATGTTAATGTTTCCATAATAGACGTCTCGACAAAACCTCAACAATATCCTACATCACAATGTGTCAATAATACATGATTGTTTCAATGCTTACAAGCGCATGAAGTTTCCCATCATTGAAGTTTCCCTATTACCTGTTACTGTTCTAAATATTCATGAGAAAATGTTATAATTACAGCTCATTAGCATTTATAACTTTTTCTTAATTGTGCTTGCTCCCGTCAAACTTATAAAGCGTAGTATTTTTTACATTAAATTCCTGTTCGGCTTCATTAGTTTGTTTTGTTAATCATCCAGTTTTAAATTGCTTTTATACTTAATTTACAAATTGTCTCAGTGTGAAGTGTACTTAAGCCTTTTTATGGCATCCGAGAGGCGTTTATCGATAAAAAGACAACAGTGAACTTTACTGCCTTTAGAAGTATATTAAGATAAACCTTACTTCCAAATTACAATTTTTGATTTTATAGACCTATTATATATGTAATTTATACAATAAAAATATTTATTATATAAAATCAAGTAACAGACGCAACAAAAACATAATTGTTATCATAAATTAATTATCACTAGGGTTGTACAAGAACAACATGAGCCTGTACGTGGGTATCGGCATTACGGTAGCGATGCTGGCCGCGGGTGCTGCTATACTGTACGTGTGGTGCCGCTATCGGACTGTCAGACCGGGATATAGTGCCGCAAGGACCGGTCAGTATAAACATTACTCAGATTTTCTAACCGGACTATCAGACCGGCTACATAGTCTATAATGATCATTATAAACGATGGTTATTCATTGGGAGTCCGCGTAATATTTATTTAAATCTTCTAATACATTTATGTAGTACATACATTTATGATTGAGTGTTCTTTTATTCGACTCGATTTTTATTTCCATAATAAGGCGAAACTTACCATTATCAAAGTTGAAGTTCAATGTAATTTCTCACTATAACCCATAACGTGAGGTCCATATTCTCTAGGTATCCCGAAGGTGTACTCCCGAGACAAGGCCGCAGCCCCCGACCTCACTCGGACTTGCAATGAGTACTGGATGAGACCGGACAATCATTACGACATGCCACAAATGAGAGACAGGTCTTCAATTGTTTAAAGATGCTTATAAACATATTTCCTTACACTCATAATACCCTGTTAGGTACACTATGTCCAAACAGTGGCTATTAAACATTTCGTTATAATAACTATGTCTTAACGAATACGAATTAAAATGAATAGATGGTACTATGGAATATTATTATGCATGTGTTTTTGGTACGAATAATATACATGCAATCTATGTTTCCTACTGCATTCTTAGTTGATATCTCTGTCATAAAGAAAGACGGGCTAGTTACACTATTTATAAGTCAAGAACGGCTGTATGGGTTTGGCTGGAAATTGGTGGAGAGATAGCTTAGGATAAGGGAAAGGATATAGGATACTTTTCAAAGAAAAAAAAATAAGTTGATCAAATCCAAGATCTTCTTATCTACTGTCTTTACTAAGGAATAGAGTTCGCCCGGTCAGCTATACATTTCTAATTCTGAAATTATTCAGACGAAGTCGAGGGCAAAACCTATTATATTATCTAAGACTTTCGCGAGTATTCATTTAAATGAAACTCATATTTTTCGCATTACACTACACGTATTTTATTATTATAAAAATATATACTTTAATATTATAAAAATATACACTATATAAAAACATATATCTAACAACAAAAATAATAATAAGACCAACTAACAGATGTTCACCTCTCGTCTGCCGTGATCACAGTTGCTGAAAAGTAACCGAAGCGTCGGGAGCTGTTGGTTTGGTGTGGTTGGAATTTTACAATAATAAAGTACGCGTAGTATAGTATAGTCCGAAAAGTGTTAGTTGCATTTAAACTAGTTTAGTTGGTTGTTTAAAATATGGAGTATTATAAGGATGTTATGTTGAATCCTTCTGTCTATACTACATCAGTTACGCGTCTCCGTTCGGTAACCGCAGTCACCAACAAACGTCTGCGGGGAGCAACCACTGCGAGATGAAGCCCTACAGTCCCTCGGCGGAGTCCGCGTCCAGCTGTTACACTAATTGTAAGTAACATATGAATATGACAAACACATAACGCCTATAATGACTAGAGTACTTTATTCACACAAAACTAAAACAGAACTTATATATAATGAGAGATTTTTTCGACTTTTATCCATTTAGAAACGAATATTTTTCAACAACCGTGATCACGTAAAAGTAGCCGAAACTTCGGGAGTATGTATGTAGTTTTTTACAAAAATAAAGTCGTATGTAGTATTTGTCATCCGAAAAATATTAGTATCATTTAAAAGAACTAATTATATTATAGTTCATATTATGCCATTTTGAGTTCATGAATATTTATAGGATTCGATCTGTCTGTTATTTTGATAATAATAACTTTGTTTTCAACGGATTTTAATACTAATCCCACTGGATTAATGATAAGTTTGTAAGACTAATAAGGCATATAAATGACGCAGTGCACGAAGGCATAAAGATTAGTGTTACAAAATGTATGTGTTATAATGCTACATAAGACTCTCGCGAGTACCTATTCATTTCAATGAAACTAATATTTTTGGGTGTACTACGTGTTTTTTAATATTATAAACTACATACTCCCGATGTTTCAGTTACTTTGCAGCAAACGTGGTCACAGACAGACGTCGTGTCTGCTATTCATACTTTTTTAATAATCTATAAAATATATTCTGCACTTATTTGGTATTCAAGTGCCAAAATTTAAAACGACCAACTTCTATTATAGTTAATGTAAAGCACGCAAATTGGAAATTTTTTGTACTAAAATTTCAACATGATAGCATCGCATTGCGCTTATATGCGTATCTTTACCATGCATGCATATATTCGCAATGCATGCTTACAAATTACACACACATGCAGCCCGCACGATGACGTCACGATCGAGCGAGTGTTCGTCCCAGTTGGCTGAGCTAATGACGTCATCACCCACCTCCCACTCCAAGGTAGACGTGGCTGTCACCCTACCCCCAGGACCCGCGGAGAGCTATAGAGATAAAATATGTTTAACTATAGTTAAATAAACTTTTAGTTTAGTCCAACTAAAACTACTAAAAACTATTTTTTTTTGGTTCCGTCGTATCATTTCGTTCATATAATTAATTTGGTATTCACCTACGTGCTTCTGAATATGATATTATCTTTTATTAATATTTGTTTCATGTCTACTTTGTACTCGTTGTGTGTATGTTTTTAATTTATTTTAGTTTTATTTGAAACTCGATGTATTTTCTAACAAAAAATATTTATAAGTTTCTGTAGTGATGTTGTATGTATTGTTTTAAATGGATAGGATTTATAATACATAGTTAGAGTCAATATTATACGAAGCTTTTTAATGTCGAATACAGAAGTATATATGATAGTGAATGTTTTACAATAATACGGTCGTATAACTTGTTTTGCTGAAGACTGAATGTAATTCAACGAGCTCCGGGCTGATTTTTTAAACGCATTTTTTGTAACTGCCGATGTAATTTATTTGTAGCGTTGTATACAAATGTAAATATTGTATTTAAACTGTGATATTTTATAATTAAAAGGTTTTAAAGATGTATACGTGTTTGATTTAAAAAACTTAAAATAATACTCGCAGAAAAATCATAAATAAATTGTCATCCTTTTTTATATAGTATGCTATGTTTTAGTATGCTATGAATAAGAATTTCTGTACTGATTATATAGACTACTATTTTTAATAAAAAGTATCCAAACAAAAAGGTATATTTTAACAAATTAGGCCTATTTCTTACAAAAGCTTTTTGTATCCAAATGTCATGGAAGACGTAGAGTTCAGTTTTTTGCTTAGAAGAGATCATGAATAGAAAAAAAACTTAATTATAAATAATCGAACCTGTTATATCTTATTTTAAATGTAAGGCGACGTTGTTTTACCTTGATATTTGTAACATCATCTGGAAGATAATTAGCTAATAATGTTAATTTAAGGTAAATGTAACTAATACGATCATTAAAGTACATTCGAGTTTGTTATTATTGTAAAACGATTCGACAACTAATATTTAAAATACGAAGAGAATGAAGAACGTTGGAAACAGTCGAATACCTTATTTTTTGAAGTCGGTTAAGTAATAAAAAAGCATTAATATAATTTTAATAGTTCATACTCAACCTATCTATAAACATTCCACTCTCAGCATATGTTTAACAGACACTGATATGTATTTTATCATTCCTTGATAACTCTAGTATCTGGTCATAGCTCTAAGTGGTATAAAAATAAAACGCTAACCTTCATTAAAACATGAGACCACCCATTAAAACCTTATCCGAATCCTTTAGGACTGCGGCTCTTCAAAATATTATTTATATCACACGATATTTTAGTCGTGAGAACAAGTAATGTTGATTCAATGTTCAGTTTTTCTACGAGCAAGGCAGACCAATGAACCGTTTAAGTTTTTATTTCTCAGAACATATGTACCGAATGTTACAGAATTCGCATTTATTCTCTAATAAATTGATTAAAAAAGAAACAAATTTCAGTCTTATAATTTATTTGTATACTTATATATGTAGGTACTTTATTACATCGAAGTATCGTACCGAGATTTAAATAATGCTTAACGATTATCTCTCTATAGTTCCTCCAACATTTCCAGTTCATACTTCATCGATCCAATCCACATGAATCGCATCGTATCCGTTCCGTGTAAAGAGCCTATTTCAAGTAACAATCCAAAGTGTTATTTCAGTATCTTGCCATTAGTCAAATGCGAGCGAACGTACACAAAATGTTTAAGATAATATTACCATAGATCAAAGCGAGTAATTGTTTTGATAAATATGTAATTAATACGATCTACGATATGCTTAATGTTTAAATAGTTATTTTGTGATTTAATTGCTATTATATTGTTTCTTATACATAAAAACAGCACAGTAATTGAGAAAACTTATGGAATAATAGTATTGAAAATGAAAGTATTTGAAACGAACAAACCCATAGGCTCGACCCTAGTGAAATTTCTAATCTAAAAAATATTTCTTATAAAATTTGCAAAACCAACATTTATCTGATTATCAACTTTGATATAAAGAATGTATGCAACTTTCAACATTAAAACCTGTTCATGGTGCTTTGAAAAGCTCTTTTGAGCAAACTATTGATTGCTTAAAAGCCTTTGAAAACATATACATCCTTACTACTTACCTTTATGGAACTACTCGTAAGAGTCAGTCTTTTTATTCCTCTATTTAAACTTTATAATAGTTTTTTAAATTATTTCAAAAGAATGTAGCCATAAATTACAGCTTAATGTTCAGTGAAATTACATGTTAATTTATTAAGCATACTTTTGACATCAGTATCGTGTTATTTCAGTGAAGCCATCCTACATGTGAATCACAACTAAATTGCTTCCATCTCGCTATTTGGGACATGACTCATATTATTCCTAGATTCCTAGATTGTGACTTCCATGTGTTGTTTATATAGTTATTAATATTATTTGAGGAGACATTCGATCTATTTTGTTAAAAAGGTTTGTGTGTAATATATAGTTTATATACATGATATAAAATTTATTACAGATAATGATAAATACAGTTCTTAAGATTTATTACAAGACATTTAATATGTAGGTAATCAGTCAATTTGTACCTTTACTGTAACTTAACATTGACTATCTAAAAAGGAACGGTACGAACAAGTTCACATGTCATAGAATATATCCGTATTTCCAAGAATTACTAGTGAAAAGTATTGGAAACAAATTATTATCAAATTTACTAATAAATTAGCGAGAGCGTTTAATAGAGACTTTAAGAGATAGAGAATAAAACAACAGATTAATAAGAGTGTTTCAAAAAAGATACGTAATACATGCAAATATAATCTTGTATGCGTTTTCTTAAACCTAAACATATGTGTTGGTCAGTAGTTACTACTCATAAAATAATAACGAAACTGAACATTATTTAGATTCGAAAATTACGTTAATACTTCAAAAGAACTAATCAAAGTATAATCTTAAATCTGTAAATTACGTTGTTTCAAAATCACAAAAATCCCTCAATGATTTCGTTACTTATATTTTGCTCATATTTATTACGGTATAAGTTAGAAACAAATCACATCACTTAACGAGTAGTAATAACTGTAAACTAAAATCTATATTAAGTCTGATTAATTCATAAGAATTAAACTATCTTACTTATAAATATCTCTTTATACATACATCTGTCCATTGTTTTCATACAAGCATTTCCCAGGACATGAAGCCCACAGATAAGTTTACGTTGCCATACCTAACATTACGCTCGGTTTTGTTTACGGAGCACAGTCAACCCGCATACATTAGGCTGATTGTCTGCGAAGCCTCCGAATTCATTGCGTTAATTCCAAACATAACAACATAACTTGTAATAATCCTGGGATCAGACTGATCGTGGTTGCGGCTGAACAGCATGACTACAGTCACTTGCGGAATATTCCTCTTAATATGTATGTCTACACGTTCCTATCACACGATCTCCTAAACTTGATACTGTCATATGTTGTAAATAAAAAATCTATATTCTCTTGTAATATTAATCTTTAACACCTTTCCAAAAAAGCGACTTTTACTCAAGCCGATAAAAATTAATTCTGTAATGTAAAACTATGGGAAGATTTCGATTTTTTAATAAACAATAAGTTGAAATGTCATATTAATAACATTGTATTGATGATATATGAATGTAACAAGCATCCTTCACAAATGTAAAGATTCCAATCGGACAAAATATCGTTAGATATGTTCGATGAGATACTTTAGATTCAAAAATGCGTAAACGCAACCTCGATACTTGACAGATACCGGCCAGACCTCGTCCGATATTCCTAGAATGTTCTGAGCTAGTGCTCTTACTTGGCTGTTAAAATGACGCTTGACAATAAACGATTAAAATTTATTTGTGATATCGCACCATCATAAAGCTCAAACAGATTGTTCGAATGTGTGAAAACACATGAAATAAACCTAGAATCGAAATTTAAAGTATTATAAGCACATTTCATGTAAGAAAGTCTACTTTAAATAAAATTACTGATTAAATTTCAATTTTATTAGAGATGCTTATTTACTATATCGTAGACACAAAAGCGTCATTTTAGGGCTCATGATCTGAAACATCTCGCACAGAATGTCAGGAGACATCCACGAAGCATCCACTGAGACAGATATGTTGTGCCCAAGTGTTCACTGCTATGTGGCATTGATGTATGTTATGTCATAATAAATCATATTTAATACACACATAAAACATATTTGGCCCTCTTCCAACTTCTTATGATAAAGATAAGTCTAAGCAGGTAATTTTTATGTTATTATTGAAATAGACAGAAGATTTTTCATACTACATTAAAGATATTTCAGTGACAATTAAGGAAAAAGTTACGGTAAAGTTCTAAGGACCGTGAGGTAATATTAATAATATAAAACTTGAAACTATTCATCTTAATAATAGATGAGCCAGCTTCGGGTTGAAAATAAAATGTTCCTTGTTTATATTAGGTTATATAACTACTAAAATACTTCAACATATTTGTTAATTTTAAAACTTGACTATTCATTATTTTTGTTATATCAACATCTTCATTAATCGTTCATATTTTTTATGAATGAAATAGATATAAATCTATTCAATTAATAAATACGGACAGTCAATTAAATGTCAATTTTCGTAGACATTGATAAGGTAATATCGAATAACAAATATACTTAGTCCAAGTCAGCATTCTCACGCAATATACGGAAGTCAACAGTCTTTCATTCATAAATCATATAATTGCTGAAAACTATTGAATGAGAAACGGTTAACGCTGCGTTTGTAGTGTAATGGTGAAAACTAGTACTACGGATACATGCAACCGCCATCAATGGACATTGACGTGAGATAATTGGACATCAACTAACATCAAAGGGTATGCATGTTAAACGCCAGCAGATACAATACAAATTATAACAAGCTAATAAAACAGTTTACCAATACTATTTCCTTAGTACGAGAATGTTTATTA